TGTCACACTGCTGCCCACTGCTACCACCTGTCCAACGCCTTCGTTCCCTCCAACAGCAGGCAGCTTGGGAAGGAGGCCGTAATTTCCTAAGGGAGAAGAGCAGAGGGGGTCATCCCATGAAGCTTGGGTAGTGAAAGAGCATAGACGTTAGAGTCAGACAGATCTCAGCCTGATCTGGCCTCTGCCTCTGACCAGCTGTGTAACTAACCAACCTCTCATCTGTAAAGGGGGCTAATACTCTTCAGCTTCATGGTTATTATGAGGATTAGATAAGATAACGGAGGAAACGAGCCCAGCACATCGTGGGCACTTCACAATGGTTGGTTTGCTCCCACTGCAATCTTCCTAACTCTCTAAAAGCCTCACATTCCAGACAGGGGAGGCCAGAGAGGGCTCACACAGCCTGCAGCCGGCTCATCTGGAGAACAGCTGCTGCTAATCACAGGAATTTCACACCCACACCTGAGGAGGAATGAAAATGAGGTGGCGGCGGCTAAGCAAAAAAGCCAATTAACATAAGCCACAGAAACCAAGGTTACCTTGGATCATATTGATGTCAGATGGATTGATAGGGGCCGCCAGCATCTTCACATGGACGTCTGATCCGCCCACAGCAGGCAGCTCCAGGTTCTTCAGTCTAAGCACAAAGCCAAAGAGAGATGTTCATGTCACCCAGGCTAGACAGGGAGTCTTTTGCTCAAATCATCTCCTCAAAGTAGGTCAGGCAGCAACATTTTTGAGCTGCCATTGTGTGCCCTGGAATTAGGGTTCCCTTAGAACAAAGAGAGGTGCTGTAAGGAATTAGCCTAGGATACAGGTTAACTCTTTCACTAACTGCAAGTGGACAATCTCTGGTGACCTCTCAACCCCACCGCCCATTCTAGGACAGAAAACAGTTAAAACTCCTACTGGCATGGATTAGCCTTGTGTTTTCCAAAACTTGCTTGATTATAAGAATCACCTGGTATGCTTATTAATATGATAGATTCTTAGGCCCCAGCTCTGACTTGCTGAATCAGAATCTCCAGATAAGGGACACCCCAAATAGTTCTTAGGAACAGGCACAACCAGGAAACCCTGGGTCAGCTCATTAGTTCTCCAATTTCTTTTTTTTTTTTGGCCCCAACACACATACAGGAGAGGCGACATTCCGTTGGTTGCAGAGCAGGTAAGGGAAATAGAGAGCTGGCCATGGAGTTGGGAAAGAACTCCCTGATGCCACCATCACCCCCATTTGCACTTGATCACTTCCAAGAGCTCTCCCCATTTCCAGTCTACGTGGTAACTCCCTTTGTTTATGGTGCGCCCTGGAAGCTTTTACTCACGGGAACGTTGGCTAATGGGTAAAACCTGCCCAGTGGCAATGCCCATGTGCTAGTTTTGTTTTTTACAGCAGGAGACCTTCCAACCAGAAAGCACTGATCAGTGTACTAGACCAGTGGGTCCTGGAGACTTATTAATTACCAGGGATGCCTTTCTCTCTCCACACCCCCGAGACTTCATGTTTGCAATGCTTTTCTCTGCCCAAACGTACTTGTTAATAATTCTCCTTATTTTTACTTTCCAAAGGCAGATATAACTGCCAACCAGAGGTTCTCAGCATTAGGCAACAGTGTCGCTGCACTGAGCTGATGTAATTCCACCCATTTCCCGCAGAAATCTGACCTTTTAATTATACCTGAGGCTCCACTTGCAGTAAAAGTGTGATTTCCAAGAAGTGTCTTGTACTAATAGTAATAATGGTGGCAGGTATTTGCGAGGTGTTTATTATACTCCAGGTCCTGTGCTAAGGGCTGTAAACATGTGATCTCATCTGAGATGCGACACTCCTGTGAGGAAAGTATGAACATTCCCCTTCTATCAAGTAGGAATTGGGGCTCCTGGAGATGATGAAATGTAGGTAAGGCAACGGGTCAGTGGCAGGGCTGATCCCCTCTCAGAGCCAGTACTTGTACTGACCTTGCTCTGTATCGGCATCCTGAAATCAGTGTGGGAATCCCTCTGCCTGTCCACGAGGATCACCGGGGACCCAACCTGGGAATCCCTGTACTGGATTATCTATGAACAAAGGGAGGAAGGCCATGCTTTACTGTGACAGAGAAACAGCTGCAAAAAGCCGACACAGAAACACTCTCGGCAGAAAATGGTTAACTAGGAAGGAATTGATGAGCAGGACAGAAAGAATAAAGAAAAGGCTTTTTTTTTTCCTTGTAGGTGAAGTATTAAGGGCTGTGTATTTATGAATAGCTGGAGGAGGAGGAGATCTTGTAATAATAGTAACTACTGTGTGAATGTGTACCAGTCAGGCACTCAGCTAAGTGCTTTCTGTGCCAGCTTTCATACTGTTATTCTGATTTTAACAGCTGAGCAACAAAAGGCACAAAAGAGGTAAATAACTTGTTTAAGGCCACCCAGAGTAATAAGTGGCTGATCTGATTTGAACCTGGCAGTCTGATGCTAGAGATGCCAGCTGGTGCAGGGCTGACCAAGCAGAGGGCAGCAAGATGAGCACCAGCCTGGAGCGCTGCGAGGCCTTGACCCTTCCTGGGCCCACCTGGGGAGATAGGGGTGGCAGGGGGATCAGCTCTACACCCTCCCCACCAGGATAAGCAGGGAGGCGTCAGCCAGGACAGTGCCATTTCTCTGGGAAAGCACGTCTAAGTCTGCATTCCAGAGAAAAACCCTGCCCAGAGCAAATGGATTGTGGACTAGCTTGCCCCTTTATAACATCCATACTGCTTCTCTCTTGCATTTTGACAGATAATCAGAGTTTTTCTGTAAGCTGACAGAGTTCATGTGCTCAAGCTACTTAAAGACATTTTTTTCTGCAGGTTTTCTTCAGGCTCTTCCCTCAGACCTGAATTCCTTTCCCACAGCTTCTCCGTGAAGTGAGAAATTCAACTCACCCTTTAAGACCCGGCTGAAATTTTACTTCCCCTGAGACATCTTTTGATCTTCTTCTTGGTTCTGAAAAAAAATCACCTGCTCCACCCTCAATGCTCCCATTACACAGGTGGAGTGACTGTATCATTTAAGACCATCTTACACAAGTTTATTGCTTTTTAGTTTATGAAGTCGTTTTATACATTTTCTTCAGTTGATCACAAGGCCTAAGTTCACATTCCTTTTCCAATTCTTGGGGCCAGATGTCTGCCAGAGTTCAGGACCATGTGTCATCTACCCTTCTCCCTGGGGGCTGGGGCAGCACTCCGATCAGACACATGGTTTCTGCATGAAAATACAGGAATATTCACACTAAGTACATTAAATAGTGACTGTACAAAAACTTCACTTTTGATCAGGTTTTGCCTCCAAACAAGTTATGAAAAAACAAAACTGTCAGTTTTCAGAGCTTTCTGGATTTTTAGAATGCAGATACAAATGTGGATTTGAATCCAGGTCTTTTAGACTCAGTTCAGGGTTCTTTTTCCTCACCACTGTTTTGTAGTCAGAATGTGTGTTGTCTCCCTGTTAGACTGAACTCACGGAGGGCAGAGAACTTTTAGTTTTCACTGTTTAGCGCAGTGTCTGGGACCAAAACAGCACGTGAGTATGCTTCTCAAAGAAATCACCCCATTTTCCTCGTTAGCGACAATCACTTAGGGAATCAGGGGAGGGGCTCAAACCCCAGGGACTTAGCTACTGAGACTGGTACTTGCTTTCTCTGGTTCTGGGCTGTTTAGGAAAATACCCCTGAAGGATGGGTGCAAATAAAAATGGGTATTTTCCTTGAAAGAGTTCAACCTAAGCAAACACTCATGTCTCTTTTCCTCACAGGAAAGTGCAGAGCAACTCTGCAGTAAGATTGTAGTTCTCAAAAAATCTCGATGACCATGCTCAAGACGAGAATATAGGTAGATCTCAGATCACGGATGAAGGGGAGAGCATGGATTTGGAGTGAAACAGGCAGCCCTGGGTTGGAATCCTACCTTGGTCATTTGCCAGCTAGCTGAACCTCACAAAACTCATCTGTGGGATGGGAGGACACTGTGAGTCAGCTCATGAGATTAGAGGAGTTAATGGACACAGAGCACTTGCTAGATACACAGTAGATGCTGGAGAAGTGGAAGCTGTTATCGGTAGTAGGAATATCCAAGGAAACCTGGATATTCCTGGCTATACCTCTGGAAAGAAAAAATCACAGAATCACTGAAAGGAAGGTAGCAACTTTTTGGAAAATTCAAGTAAATTTAACTCAACAAATTCCTGACAGTCCTGTTAAGTGCCAGGTACGGTGCATGGGCTTTAAAGATGAAAAAAAACAGCATTTCCTGCCTGGGAGCTTGATGGTGGCGACTCTGGGACGAGGCTTGTGCTGCTAGAGCCGGGAGAGTGTCTGGCTGGCCGGAGGGAGAGCAAAGGGACTTCAGAAGGCGTGATGCTGGGTTGAAGCTTGAAGGATAAACAGAGTTTATGGGGTGGACGGAGAGGAAGGAAGGATTTCCTGGCAGAAGAAGTGGCAAAGAATCTGACCTGATGTAGGCCAGGCACAGGTGCAGAATGGATTGGAGCCGTGGGAATGGAGATCTGATAACCTGGAACCTCTTAAATAAGAAGTGCATTGATGTCATTTGGTGACAGACTTCATGGAGGGGGAGGGGTGGGGAGTCTTTGATGACTCTCAGGCTTCTGGTTTGGGCATTCAGATGTTGAGATAAGGAGGAAGGAAGAGTTACTTGGAGTGGGGAGGAAGGTGTTACATCTGAAGCTTGAACCAGGTGGCCTGCAGTGTGGTACAGAGGGCACTCTGAGTAAGAATGCGGAGCCGTGTGTAGGTGGAGTCCAGGGTAGCACATAAACTTATTCTGGGCCATGTCACCTGACAATAAAATGACAACAAATGTTAACAGCTTACTAAACTCCAGGCATTGTGCTTTGCATTTTATATACAAGATGTTGTCTGGTCCTCAAAATATCTATCTGGAGGGTGTTATCACCCCAGCTTTCAGATGGGAACTGAAGCTCAGAGAAATAACTTGCCCAAGGTTAAACTGTTAGTCAGTGGCAAGACATGATCTTCAGCTAGACTCCAAAGCTCAGCCTGTTGAACACTCAGCCGGCATCCCCTACACTGAGTTTGTGGAATTTTTGTCCTGGGAGATATTATTAGGTGTCCCCTGGGGTTCCCAATACCTTTGGGGAAACTCAGCCTATTAAACCCCCTTTATAAGATTCAGATTGCACATGAGAGTCATAAAGGCTTTGAGAAGTCCTCCAGTAAAGAAACCCACGTGGCTTTGTATAATCCAGAGCTTCCAGAGTTAACTCAGCCAGGAATGCTATTCTCACAGCCCACTGAGTCACTGCCTGCCCCCAAACAGCAGTTTGAAAAGTGCTGCCCTGGGCTGCAACCCACTCCCAGTTCTCGTCCTTGTCTTCTAGGAGCCTGGCTGCTCTGTGCCAGTGAAGTTCACAGGAGTGGGAAGGAAGGAGAGTGGGGCAGGAGGTGGAAAGTTGAAGCTGCAAACAAGGTGGGTGAGGGCGGGGGCCAGGCCTGACACAGGCTGATCGCCTAGGGCGAGGTGTGTTGGTCCAGCTGCGTCTCACCAGGGAGACCGGCTCCAGCCTGCCCCGTGGAATGCCATCAATACCACAGACACCGCTGTTCCTGCCGGCAGTTCTAACGGCGTCGTCAAG